CCGTTCCGTCACGGAAGCGCGGCAGCCAAAGCGGTAAATCCCTGCGGTTTCTGCGCTCTCTCTCCCAGATGCCAGTGACCGTGGGCCCGTACGGGCAGTCGCAGCCCAGCTGCTTTGACAGAGTGAAGATGGGGTTCATGATGGGCTTCGCAGTGGGCATGGCAGCAGGAGCGCTGTTTGGCACGTTCTCCTGCCTCAGGTACGCCGTGGAAACCGTTCCGTGGACAGCGTGTGACACAGAACAGCCGGAGAGAAACGCTCCCGCGGTGGGATTGGGAAGCGAGGGGCAGGTCTGGTCCTGTGTTGGCTCCGGATTAGACACCTGCCATCCTGCTGCCAGCACCGGCCTCCCGTGGGAGAGACTGGCCGTGGCGCAACGTCACCTCTGGGTCAGTGGTGCACGAGGTCGCAGTTCCGCAAACCTTTTCCTGCAGCTTGTAAGGGAGGTTGCACTGGGAAGGTGAGGCTGTCAAGGATCAGCTCCAGGAGGAGCTGGATGAATTTCTTGTACAGATACACTTGCAGCCTCTCCTCACTCTAAAGCTTCCTGAGGAACTCTGGAAGCTCTCGGCCGTCTGCGCCCTGGTTGCTTTGGGTATCCCGTCCCCCAGTGCGGAGACAATAGCTGTGCTGGCCCCGAGGCTCAGGTGCAGGAGCGTGGGCAGAGCTGTGGCTGGCCCTGGCGCAATCCTGTTGTGAATCAGAGAGGGACAGTGTTCCACCTCCCCCCAGCACGGAAACAAACAACGCTCGCTGCTCCCAGTTAGCCCTTGCGCTGCTCTCACTGGTTTTGGCACGTTATCCATGAAAAGGAATTGCTGAAATAAGCAGAACTCTTTCTGCCTGAGGTTTTTTAACTGGTCGTTAAACGTGGGCGATCACTTGGTAGGGAGCCAAAAAGGTGGAAAAGGCACAAAGTCTGATTGGGTGAGAGTGTTGGGATCTGTCAGATCCCGGGCAGTGTGTGAGGGGCACACCGGAGCAGAAAACACAGATTCAGGGTGTTGAGACAGAACAGGGACCGTGCTTCCGTTGTACTCGGGTGACACAGCTACGTTCCTTCTGCTGCACTGTTTTGAGGGAAAATCCCCATGTTTTACAAAAAAGTGCATTAAATTCCTTAGACCCTACAGTCACTGGAATGCTTAGAATCCAAATATTATGAGGGCTTGCTGAGAAGGAACAGTTCTTTTCCCTTCAGTCTGACCCCAGGTGAGTGGGAACTGGAGAACAGAAATGCCTCTGGATGCTTCCAGGCCTTTCAGGTTTCTCTCATGTTAAAAACAGTGTCAGTGGTAAACAGGAACGTAGTTTACAACCTGGTTTGAAGTTGGCTGTATTAAAAACACGGCCACTGCAGCCAGACAGGATGCTCATGAAACAGCTCAGACCCTTTTTATTCTCTGCCAAGTCAAGCACTTGGCCAGCACGGTTTTTTCCCCCAAATTAAGGGTATTTGGGGCACCAGCAGGTAAAGCTGTTCCTGCTGGTGGCATGGCAGTGTCAGCTGGTACCACTGCAGGAAAAAACCCACGTGGGCCATTGGTGAGGGTCCCTTAGGGACCCCCAGGAGAACAGCTCTGTTGGTGGCTGCAGTAGCTCGGGCACAGGGCACTGCAGCCCATCTCCTTGGGCAGGCAGGAGGCACCATCTGAAACGTGCAGTGAAGAGGAGGTGTTTGATTTGGGCTGATTGTATCGGGTGTTTTCTGCTGCGTGTCTGTCACCTGTCGGGCATCAGTTTTTATGTAATTCTTGTGTTTCTCTTTGTCTCAGGATTGGCATGAGAGGAAGAGAGCTGATGGGTGGAGTTGGCAAAACAATGATGCAAAGTGGCGGGACGTTTGGGACATTCATGGCTATCGGTATGGGAATCCGCTGCTAACCTGGCGCTTGGGTGTTATCCCGGAGTGCCCGGTCCAGCTGTTCCTCCTCTGTTCCATAATAAATTCTTTCAATACCTGGAAATGAGAGCTCTTCGTGAAATGGAGCACCATCTGCCTTGCTCTGCTGACCGTAAATGTGCTTTTTACCCCATTTCTACTTTCCCCCACAATGGGAATTAATCCTTGGTACCACATTAAAGTTCCTGCTTCGCGGCGTACGCGCACTGCGCATCTCTCCCTTTGATAGCTGGGAGGCTCACGTGCCCGGTGGGTCAATGTGGAGCTGCTCCAGTGCATTCCCATCTAGGAGAGTTACCGTGTGGCTTATTCAGATCAACTGTCAGACTTCTCTCCTCTGACAAAAACAGGTGGGTTGAAGCTGGCCCCGTTTCTGTATTCTGGGTGGTACGGGGCAGGCACCTCAGCCAGAAAGACCTGGGCAAGTCTGTCTGCAGCTGAGGGCGAACCACAGCAGCTCAGGCACCTTCTGCCAGGCAGCCTGGCAGCACATGTGCACGGGACTGCACGGCTACAGGTACAGCCATGCTCCTGGAGCTGGAAATAAGTTGCTGGAAAATGGAAACCAGCTCCCACCATGTGGCAGCTGAAGGTACTTTGTGGTGAGTCCCAGGGATGACCTCACACCAGCCATGGGAGAGGTGAGCAATGCCTTACCTAAAGCTCTCCTCCTCTCAGGACTCACTGTGCTGCAGTTACTGTGCTTCCAGCACAAAGAGCAGAGTGTGACCATGCCACCCCTTGCCCAGCTCTGAAGGTGCAGCCTTACCCCCCCGGCAAGGCGGCTCTGCTGCAGCCCCTCCAGAGCAGGAAGGGCACAAGTGTGGCTGCAGCTGCCTCCAGCGCTGGGAACCTGCAGGGAATTTCTCCCTACCGTTCCCCAGCCACCATGGCACTGCCTACAGCTGAGCTGTGGTCAGTGCTGCCATCTCCTGTCACTTGCCTTCTGAAACAAGGCTTTGCTCCAGCAGCAGAACCAGCACCTGTACAAGTGCTCTCTCCCCAGTTTTTTAGGAGAAAAATGCCTATCTGCCACTGAAAGCCTGCTCTCTGCTGTCATGCAGCTGAGCAGCCTCAGAAACTCCACCAATGACAACCCAGCTACTCTCGGCAGCTCAAGCCTGACTCCAGCTGGGACCAGTAGACTCTACAACCTTTGTCAAACTCCACTTTTATTTATTAGCCAGTGGTTAAAAGTGACAGTGAGGGGGGAAAGGGGTACTAAGAGGGCAGTGCACTGGGGCAGGCTTCCCTACAAGCCAACATGAATTACTCCGACATCCTTACCGCTCACAACCGTTTGAGAGATGGGGCCATGGGCAGGGGGACATCACCTCTGGAAGGAACCTGCAGCAGGCCTGAGAAAGGGCAAGAGCTGCCCCTGCCCTGCAGTGGGAAAACCCAACCACAGCTGCAGTGCACGGAGGGTTCAAACCAGCAGGAACCAGCTCCTGCACTTCCTCCTGCAGGAGGAGCGTCCCGAACATTCACCATTTCAAAGCATCTGTCACTCGCCTCCACTCTGCAGCACAGGCTGTGTAAGCCACATCAGGAGAGAGCAGAAATAAAGCTTCATGAAGGCCTTTTTAAGAGAGTTTTATTTGAGTGGTTCTTACAAAGATTGTTGCAATATGAAAGTCTTTGTTTGATAGAAATATCAAGCTGTCTTGTCAAACACACTGAAGTAACCCAAAAATATATTTCAGAGCTCACAGAGCTTAAAAAGAGCAAAGATTATATGCAACCAGAACAAAACATGTTTCTGTATTTCCCACCCATTTTCAGACTCGGCTGAAATCCTTCAACTGCGCCACACTGCATACATAGAAACTCATCTGGAAATGCAGAGATCGTTTTGTTTGGAAACTTAGACACACCTCACACAGTATTTACAAAGAAACTTTTACAGATACGTTAATCAAAAGTTACCATCGAGAAATAAAACCCTTCGATCCTTCTACTCTTACCAAATATTCAGCACAAAGCAAGCTGAGTGGCTGTCTACAGTCAGCTTTCAGTAGCCTTTGGAGTTTTCCATTTATACAAAACACTAAATATGTCCCTTCATCAAGTCTATCTCTGATATTCACCTTTAGCAGATCACCTACATTTAGTGAAATGTAAAATGTAATTGCTGCATTAAAAGAAAGGCTTGTGAAACATTAAAAATGTCGTTATGTCCCATCTGCCTTTTACAGAGAACTTGTTTTCTATGAGCTACTTCTCAGTTCCTACAGATCACCTTAGTAAATGTACAAGAATTACAAGGCAGAACAAGAAGTCAACAGCTTTGTATACAGTGGAAATGCTAGTTAGGGAGAATGAACACACTGCATTTCTGCTTACTTCATTTTATTTTTAAACGTAGCAGGAAGTGTACACAAAATGACATTAAATCCATTTGTTTTATCTAAATAAAAGATAACTCAATCTTCCTCCAAAAAATAACTATGTACAAAACTGACTAAATCCATCTTCATCGTCGAACAGGAACCAGTAGTTGGGTTGCAGTCATAGAATCTGGGAAAAGGCTATGGTACGTTGGAAGAGGTACATAGGCTGCTGTAATCATTTTACCTAATCAGAACATAAAAAAAAAAAATTACAATCTTAGTATTTGGTCACCTCTGTAACTGATGAAGAAATGTAGGTGTCTCCAGGAAGTCCACTCACCTGCAAACCACCTCCCATGCAACGCGTTGACCGCTGCGATGGCGGCGGCGATCGAGGGACATTTGACGTACACGTTGCCCTGGAACACAGAAGCGTCGCAGTCCGTTAGAAGCTCCAAACGTCCCACATGGTCAGTTCTCAAGACATTTCTCCCCTACACGGCTGTGAAGGAGGCAAACCTGCCTTGCTCTGTTCCTACTGGTATCAACTGGTCGTGCAGAATGACCATGAGAAAACGCAGTGGTGGACAGGTTTTTTACTGACACACATTACCCAACTGTAACAGCCATCTTAGCACGAAACTTTTCTAAATACAATTTTTCAAAACAGACCAGATGTTGATTTCAGATCAAGCCCACAAGTAAGAGATTTCTTACTTGCTCGTGACGACCCTTCAAAGAGAGCATTCAACAGCTCGTGACCACAAACCTCACATGAAGCAAACACACGGAGGGTCTGGCTAGCTCTACTGCAGGGTGGCCACCAAGTTCTGTCAATCACCACAAAAGCTTCACCAGACACGCAAGTTCCTAGTCTGGTTTTCACAGGGATTAAGCACTCCCCGTTCCTCAGGGCAGGAAGGATGTCCAGCACCTCAAGATGACTGGTACTGTAAAAATTCTCCTATGTGAACTTCAGCACCTGTCTGTACTTGACTGAGATGAGTGAAAAATCCATCACAGCAGGGCAACAAGAACTTAAGATGGTACCTAGCATGAACGACAGGCTCAACTTTCAACTTTGCCAGAGATATCTCAAGTCTTCCATCTGCAAATTAAGCACTAAACCAGTCTAATCCAGAGTACTGCAATATTCAACACCTGCAAGACACACAGATGCCCACAGAAATGTGTGTGCACTTTTCTGGCTGCTGGCTTAAAAATAGAACACTACCAGTAATTCTTGAACCAGATCAGATTCTAGCTGACCGGATGCCACAGGAAAATACATTAAGAAACAGAATCCAGCCTTCTCTTCGGCAGCCTTTGCCAGCCTGACTAACTCCTGCCACTGCGATCTACCTCATTCCTTCTCGGAAGGAAATCTGAGATCAGGGGCTGATGTTGACAGCACTGAGCAATTAACACACAGAGTTCTGTTCTCAGCCTCCCCCTGCACAGGCATCCACGCTGCTTAAACCCTGGAATGACATACAGCAACACAAAGCTTTAGTCCTCCTTAACGCACCAGAGTGTAGCCCAGTGTGACATATGACACCACGCGTTCAGCTGGGACTGCAATCTTCTCACCCACAATAAAAAAAAAAAAAGATGGCAGATGAAAACACTTAAAAGATAACACGTATCTTGTGTATTTTGTGTCTGGGTCATGGTTGTGCTACTGTGACAGAATGTATTTATTGTGACAAACAGCTAACTCATGATACAGTAGCCGTAATGTTTTCTTCTAAATCCACTTGCTAACATGAACCAATGTGCAGCTGTGTTCACGCCCCAAGTGAGGTATGCTGAAGGCTGCTGCGTTTTTGGGGTTTGTGGGTGGTGTTTTTGGGGGGTTTTGTGTGTTGGGTTTTGTTGTTGTTTTTTTTTCCATCTCTTGGAGGACACTGTTTTCTCTAAGATAGTATCAGACTAATATACTGTGGGGAAGTTGTGTGTCTCTCATCAGCCCAGTGGTCCAACACAGCAGTGACCCTGCAGACTACAAAACGCTAGGAGAGATCGCATGCTGGTTTGTGTACCAGACTGCAGCTCATGTCTAATCCAACATTCAGTAACCCACGTGAACGGGTTTCAGGTGACAACAGTCTTCTGTAGAAGCAGCACAATGACCACAAAGGTTTGGGAGTGCCAAGTCCATCACCAGGGCAGAACAATCCATCTAAGCAATTACTGACAGGGACGGTAGTGTAGATTTCAGCTTCCAGGGTCTGATGGTTAGAAATAAGCTGACTGTGAGAGTGTTTGGAAACTGTACTTCGCTTTAGGCTGTGAATTCTATAGAAAAGGGGTTCAGGAAGGCCAAATCTGTTTACAGACCTTCCACAGTTTATCTTCTAAGAGCTGAAACACAGGGGAAGAGAGAACTAGTCTGGGGATTGTATAAATAAAGTGAACACAGAAGAAAAGCAAGCACAGAAGAAAAATGCACGAGCCTTCTTAAGATGCAGGCTGAGTCCCTCAAACAGGGATTAACTTGAAATAAAGTCTGCATCAGCAGCCCTCCTTCTGCTCCTCCCTGTTATAACTCCAGGTGTTCCTACCACAAGGCTTCGACACTAGTGAACACACTTGTTTCCAAGCATGGGATGAGGCACACATTTCACTGCACACCTCCAGTCTGCTGGAACAGTGTCCTTTGCGCCTGTGTTCTCCAGAAACAGAAGAAAATGGAAGTCCCTGGCTTTTGGGAAACACACAGCTTCAGGGGAAAGCCAAACACCAGAACTGAAGAGGTCAATACTCTTCAGCTTGTATTTGCACCATAACTTCAGCTGTGCAGATCTGTAAGAGCAGGCTGCAATACCAGAAAACTGCTCTCATACCTACATTCCAGCTACACACAGTGATGCAAAACGGGAGGCAACGACCTACGTTCTGCAAAAACTCCAAAGTAACTTCAATAAATTGAGATTCAATTTAGGGGAAAAAAAAGTATTTGTAATGCTCCCTCTATACACTACATAGCAAACCCGCCCCAAACCTGCTCAGTGTCTCCCTGGACCCAGGCATACCTGAGCTGAATTTTTGTCTACATAGATGTGGATAACTCCTCCATGTTTGTTACATTCCTCGATCACATCATCTTTAATTTCTGTATCCCAGCCAGCTTCTTCTTCACTGCAGGGGTAGAGGAAGAATAAGACAGAGATGGAATTGTTATCACTCGGACAAAATTCACCCCAAAACCCATCAAAAAAACAAAACTCTGCAACATTCTAGTTCCTTTCTCAGATGATGAAGTTATCAACACATGCCAAACAGAAACAATGACAAATCACTTACGTCTGAGGATTAAACATGTTGGAAAGCTGGAAGCACTGTGTTGCAAGAGGCTGTACAGAAGCAGCTGCAGCCAGAACTGTTGTAATGGAAAAAAACAGTAACAAAAGTAAGAATCTGCCATGTATGGCTCCAATTCAAATGAGTATCTTCTACCTATTCTTTAGAAATCCCAGCATTCAGCAGTAACAGTAACAGTTCTAACTGAACACAATTGAAGACAGGAAAGCAAAACCGTAACTAGACACTATGACAGAAATTTTAAATTGATCAATAGAGAAAACAGCACAGATGAACCACCGCTGAAGCTGTAAAGTGAACAGATAACCCTGCACATGGATTTTGACAGATTTCCAGTTTAACCGTTTAAATGCAGACACAGGCATCTTCACACGCATCAAAAAATTCTGCCTGAGTTGTATGCCAGCAGCACCTTGAATTTTTTTTCTCCTCATGGAAGCTAAGCAGCAGCTGGGGATGGAGTGGCATCACCCCATCTGACTTCATGGGAAGTGACAGACATCTTTGAGAATTCTTAAAATATATTTTAAGCACTTTGAATTATCCTTCAAAAAAGTACATCCATACTTTTGTCCCTTGGAAATGCGTAACGTAAGAAATTTTTGACCACTAAAATGATAAACATTGTAACTGGGGAATAGATCTATCCTCTTTCCCAGTAACTATGAAATTCCTGTCATTTATTGTTGCTCATCATCACAGTTATTTTATTAACGATGTGCACTGTCCTACAGGCTGCAAGCTTCTGTTAACTCGGCTGTGAACAGCCCCCTTCTCTCTACACACAGACGCTAAGGGTTGCGTAGTCAGAGTAAAGTGGTGACTAATCCAGGGACAGTCATCTCCGACTCCTGGTTCTCAAATAACCCCTCTAGTCCCTGCTTCTAAAGCAGGGAAAAAATCCCACTCCCAACCACATCTAAACCCACAAAACCAAACACCCACATGTTTTCTAGGATTAACATACGGCTGGGGAATGTTACCAATGCTGAGGAAACACTGCAAGGAGAAGGCCACGTGTGTAACATACATCCTGTTCTTTTCAGTCCATACTCAATACACAATTCCTACAGGCACTAACACAACACACTTTCTCAGGCTGTTGGCAAACTCTACACCAGAACCATTCACCTGAAACAAAACCTACTGGTGACAAATGGTATCAAATGTTGGTTTACCTTCATTCTGCTGAGACAGTCTCGTTTGCAAATCTAAAGAAAAATATGCAGAAGTTAATTAGTATGCTTGCTATTACTGTATCGTTACCTGCCAGCCAGATGGTTTAGCTCGTGTTTTTGTGTTTAAGAGCTTGCTCAAGTACCTCAACCCACTCTCACTGCTCCTCTCTAGTTGAGTAGTTTCACTAATTTCAGCTTCTCAGCTGGAATATTCTGTACTTGACAGAGACTCCACTACCACAAAGGTAAGTATATTTCAAAGAGAAATAATACCTTAAAAGGAAAGACATGACCATGTCCTTTAATTCAATGTATGGTTTCCACTTTGCCTTTGCTGCGCTTGAGCTCTTTGTTAAGATGCACTTTGTTCCACTGGAAAAATCATTACAGCAATTCTTACAGGCATTACAAGTTTGGCATCTTTACTAACAGAAAGCATTTAAGCACACAGTTATCCAAATGTGACATTCTGAAAGCAGTTATCAAACTTAATTACAAGAATAAGAAGGTACTATTTCACTTGTTACATGTCCATATAAATGTCACAGTGACAGAAGTTACTTTGATATATTTCTAGTTCAACACATTTTCAAGTGTTCAGAACATTTAATTTGGCAAGAAAACACTAATTACTTGTTTAATAACACATAGGTGTCCCGATTCGAAGTAACGGGAACGGACAAATGCAAGCTTTCCAACCATTTCCAAGTCTATGATTCCAATACTCAACATCTTTAAACCAACAGACAACTTTAGAATGCCAGGAATGTTAGCATCAGCCTCTTCATTTATGTTCCAATGTAACTCACACAAACACAAGGAGTCAGAATACTCAAGATAACCACCATCTTAATTCACTCATTTAGAAAGCAGTGACGGACCCCAAGGAAGCTGCCAAGTTTACCTGGAAATACCTGAAGGTATCTGGTATCAACATACTTTCTCCCTTTCTAATAAACTCTCTTCCACAACACTGGGGGGACCAACAGGAGTGATTTTTTTTGCTCTAAGTTTTAGGCAGTGAGAGCCCCAAACACTTCAAGTGCCTTCCCAAGTGACTTCCACAGAAGAGCACACACTGGGAGCCATGCTGAAAACTGTGATGGAAGAAACAAGCTCTGAAGGTTGAGCTGTAACAAGTATTGGCTATACTCAGCTGGACCTGAACACAAAAAATCCTCAACTCCATAGAGGGAGAAATACTACAATGGGGAAGGACTGTCTTAGCCTGTATTCTCTCCAGAAACCGCATGGATTTGGCCAAATCTACAACTAGTTACCTAGTTAATTACTACCCAAAATTATTTTGTAAAGAAAGTTGTTAAAAAACAATAGTAAAGCCCCAAATCTCCTAAATCATTCTAATTAGATGAGGACAGAGACTTCTCCCTCTGCAGTTCTGACACAATTGCACATGTACTATGCACAGCTGAACTCGCCTGACACTGGCCGGTCTGGGGCTCCATAGCCCCATGGTCCAGGCCACCTGCACCAAGTGCAGCACGCCTACACCGATCACCACTTCGAACTGTCTAGGGCCAAGAGTCAAATTTGTTCTAAAATAGGAAATCAGCTAACAGTATCTTGCAGCCACAAGTTTCATCAGTTAATGATCTGCCACCTCCAAAACACGACCCCCGTCCACCAAATCTGCAATGGACTAACTGAATTTTCCTGTGGCTCATGACTGAAGAATGGTCCTCTCCTCTCACTTCTAAATTCACTTACAATTTAGAACATTCTTGTCGCTCTTCACTGTCAACTCTTGTTCTTCCCTACGTGCAGCTTTAACTAGCATGTGGGAACTAAAGTTCTCACATGGCAAGTTAAGATCAAAGTCACTTTTTCAGTATGTTCTGTACACATAACTAAGAGTGGCGAGTTCTGGTGTGACTAAGTAGTACATGCTTAGTACAGAGAAGGCAGAAATATGGAAATATCTATCGAAGTACTTTGTGTCTTAAAATGAAGTTGCACGAGCAAAAGCCTGCCGTGTATGCCTCAGTTTCCTAAGTAATTACTTAGAACAGCAGATCAAATCGAGGTCCTGGATGGTAACACCTCGTCTGCTGCAATAGAGGGACGAATATCTCCATCTTTTTCAGAAACAGACAGTTCCTTCCCAAAAGGAAGGAACGTTTTCTCCCACAAAGCATGAGAAGAATGTTCTATAGCGTCATGGCTATTTTAAGTTTCAGATTTTCAGACAGAATTTACTAGAGAACAGAAAGTATAAGCTACAACTGCTTAACTGCACTTCTTGCTGGAATTTCTCCATGGGAATAACTTTGAAGTTCTCAGGTCTCCCATAAAACTAATTCTTTAGCTTCTCAATTTTAGTTTGATTCAACCCATCTTGAACACAGGTGACCAGAACCGCTCACAAATGTGCAGGCAGCATCTCGGATGCTCAAGTATGCGACCTCCTAAACACAGCTGCCCTTTTGGAAACGCATCACACTGACAGTTCATCTCCACTCACTCAAACTGGAGCATTTAGGCAGCTCCCAGGCTATGTAACTAGGATTTGTTTCAATTCTGAACAGGTGAACAACGTCGAACACCCCAAGAATCCCTTACTAACAGCACCTCTGTATTCACTCACCTCACTCCTGCTCTTGCTGACCACTGTTATTTAGGTAAACGTTCAACAAGATCAGCCAACACCTGAACTTTGGCTTCAAAAACAGCCCCCAACCTTCCCAGCTTTCACCTGAACAAAAGAAACCCCTCCTTCTCCGAGCCAGCTTCTTTACACATCTGGTACTTCCTGTTCTACCTACTTCTCTGGTTTAATAACTTCAAAATGACACAAGTCAGAGTTTGGAGAGAAGAGGTTTACTACTGCTCCTCTGGCTAGGAAAGTCGGTTTTAGCAAAGATTGTTAGTTTTTAAATGTGGCTTCTCTGAAAGTCTGCTATACTTTATTCTCCAGTTTATCCATCTCTAATACGATCTTTGAAGCACAGAAGTGAAATCAGTAACAGGACTGGAAACCGGGCAGATTATGCTGTGGTTCCTTCAAGTGTAGAATTTAATTTAGAATTACCCGTTCCAGCTATCTATTGTATCATAGGCTTAAAAACACTTATTTATAATCTCAGACCTCACATCTCACATACCTATTCCCTCACTAATTTGGTGAGACTTTTATTACTACACTGAACCAAGTACATTCAGCTCTCACTTTTAGCTTTGCTTCCACCTTGTGAATAATTCTCTTTTTTTAATTCATAATCCTAGTTTACCTTCCTCAAATTCCAGACTTTACGACCTGCATCCTCACTATGAACTGAGACAATGAAATTCTTTTGAAACATTGTGGAAGTATTTTTTCCATCTAATCTCAGACCCTCTTTCTTTTTGTTCTCTTCAAAGAGTTGGTAAATCTTCATCTGTGCTTCCACGTCTTTTACAAGGTTTAACTCAACCTGACTGTTGGCAGGTAATTCTCATTATACCTATTTCCCAAAAATATTGCTTTATTATCAGTCTTTTTTCCTATTCTTCACAGGCTCAGTTCCTATTCCTTATTTCTTTTGAGGCAGTTAATCACCCAGTTCGGTGTGGAGGCCATTTCTAACGGGACTGTTTCTTTCTGTGGAATACAGATCCAATACAGCATAAGCAATTTGGAACTGAAGAAACTTTTTACATCCTGCCTGTTCAAACACCCAAGTTGCTTAGACCAGATGACTTCATTGCCTTGTTTCTTCAACCACCACTTTTGAAATCAGAAGCCTTAGTTACAGATCTGTTTTGTTTATCCTTCCATTTAAACTTGAGCAACCAACTCATGATCTCTCAAGTCAATGGTAATTTCTATTCTCATCCATAACATCTTCATTACTTACCAAATTGAGTTTAAAATAGCATCCCCTCTTCATGAGTCAGTGAGTGTTTGATGAAGAAATTTGTCGGATATCACATCCAGGAATATCTGGGCCCCACCATTATTACTAGCAATTCTTCTCCAATCTGTATCAGGGAAGTTAAAGTCTCCCATAATGACATAATTCCTGGTAGTAATTTTCTCTAACAAGAGTAAAGAGATCTTTAATCCATAACCAAATCTCACTCTGGGGATAGCTCATGACTCTATGGTAGTAAAAAGCTTTACCTTTTTCCAAGATTACTTAAGTTGCACATGTCTGCGTTATTCCTTTTGTACAATGCAAGTGGAATAAACAATGCTACTCCTACCACTTTTATTTCTACAGCTATTAAACATGCACATTCTTCAAAGACCTGCATTCAGCCTTATCATTTATTCCTTCACAGCCGTGTTGTCTCACACTGATTCCCCTAGCAGTTCAGCTGTGTCAGACATTTTTGGCCGTGTTCCTGGATTTGGGGAGTTGGGGTTTCTTTGGCTTGTTTGTTTCCAATACGGAGGTGAGGAAAGAACTGGTGTTTTTTAAAAAATATTTCCCTCATTTCTCACTGACTACACCTGTTTCCAAGCAAGACCATCACACCACTTTATCACCTACATTAAAGGTGATCTAATTTTAGTGTTGTTTACCTTTCCTTTTCTTTCTGGACTAGATACACGTTCTCCTTGCCACTATGTCTTTTGCATCTTTTTCTTCTCAAAAACTCTTATTCCTCAACCCACATTTTTCTTTCACTAGCCAGTTCCTTTTCCTTCCAAGGGTGTATCTATAGAAAAGACCTTATTATATTCTTTCAGCAACTGTCTATAGTTTCATGTGTATGCTCTTCTCAAAGCTGCACCTGAACTTCAGTAACATGATTCAGGTGTATCTTAAGTCTGAATCAGTTCTGTGACAAACTGCTGGAAGATATACAATATACCACTACCTGTTCCTTGTTGATCTCCTAACACTTCTCACACATTCCAGCATCTTGTTATTTGTGAAATTCAAGTCTTTTCTACTGCTACGACAGTTTCATGACCTTTGTTCTTGTATTCATAAAAAGTAACAAGAAGAAGAATTTCACTCTGGAAATTCCTTATCTCCTCTGCAAGGTTACCCACTGCTCTAGCTCTGAAGCCCTCTTGAGCAGTTTGTGGTTTAGGCCAGCTATGAACTAGCAGCAGTAATCACATCCTCAGCCTTATTCCCTCTCACAACAAAATAAAGTCGCAGTAACACTTCCCATGTACCCACTTGCAGAACACACAAGTTAGAGCTAAACACACAAACTCCCTGCCATACAAGGTCCTTCCTCACCAGGACACACACTGTCTAAACCTAACACTACTGCAGTTTAGTTGCTGTGTCCCACAGAGTGCTAATAACCTTCTAACCCCTGGCACAGCTCTGTTTTTACAGAAGGGTCAATCCCCTTCCAGTTGTGAGCCTGACGTTTTTAACAGTCAACATTTACACTGCAGTAGAACGTAAAGTCCCCATTGGCACAAGGACTAGCAAAGATAGAGATGAAGGCTTGGGATGATTTGAAGTGAACTACAACAGATTTGCCAAAAATCATGCAAAGTGAATCACGCCCATCAAAGCTGTCACATGCTCTCGCTGTTTATCTGCTCACGGATTTGCGAAGTTTCACAGTTTGCCAAGTACGCTGCAATACTTATGTTCTCATTCTAAAAGATCACAAAATAAAGTATCTCTTCTGAAAATTACAAAGCATAAAGTATTTTTGAAAACTAAACAGGTCATCAGTTCTTACCTGCCACAGCTCCAAATGCCAAAGATCCGCTCATCTGCAGAGCCTGCTGTGCAGCCGGGGGAATCTGCAATCCAGTACCTGGAACAGAACAGGGACGTACCTTGTGGCATGTGCTTTCCACTCAGGTAAGGATGCAGAAACAGGAGCATCCGAAATCTTACTGTTGCCAACAGCTTAAAAATACCATTCCGTGCACTGAAATCATATTCTGTGGGGTGTATTCATTCAAGTTCTGTGAACCTCTGTATTCTCACACATTTCCTATTAATCATCGCACATACCTTCCGCAAGTCTTGCCATCAACTGAAGGCGACCAGTTGTTCCCAAGTCAATTCCAGTCCGTTCCAACTCATCACTGTCCAAAAATGAGCTAGCACTGGAAGCATCGGTGCGCTCAGTCACATGTCCAACCTTCATCGGCCTGCCAGCCAGCTCAAACCCATTGAGCTGTTCCAGGGCCTTTTTAGCACACTCTGAGTCTGAGAACTGCATATGGGAAAAATGTAAATTCAGTCATACTGCCCACAGGACTGAGCCGGACTTCTACTGCGTGTAATATCCACAGGTACAGAAACATGACAAACACTACATTTAAGATAACAATAGCTACAGGCTAACTTAAATGTGGTCCATATTTTCCATTTAAACTGAATACACACAAGTTTGGAGATTTACTTCCTCATATTTAGATAAGAATATATTTAAAGATAAATTATAGTTGAAGTTAGAGCATCTAGTGTTGCAATCAACAGAAGTCATGCCTGCGGTTCTCTTTCAACTCTTTCCAAGAATGACAGTCACTTCTCTGTAACCTTGGAACTGCCATGCCTTTACTGGCTATTCTTAACACATGTTCTGCTTCAAGCTGCACAATATCAAATTAGATATACATACATAAATGTTTCCTCAGTGTTAAAACCATCAAGTATTAGCTGTGGTTTGGTTTCATTTGTTTCCAAGTGCCAGAGGTCTCAGACGAGATGTTTCCCACCCCCAAGTTCACAAAATTATGTATCTGAGGGTGAAGAGCAAAGATGTTTTCAACTGAAAGTTTTGGCTTTTTTCATTTCCTCTAAAAGGCTAAGATTCCATCATTTTCACAGCACTGTGAAAATGCCAGTCTTCAGTAGTGTCTTTGCCTGCGAAAGACAGCATTGCTTTAACAGGCACTGAGCACAAAGTACATCCCATCCTACTCTGAACACAGGCATTGTACAACCACAGTGCCCACAGAGAATGGCAGAAACGGAGAAAAAGGGCATTGTTGCCTGTCCTGCAACACGGCAGTTCTAAGATGAGACTTAACAGAGACTGCTGAGTAAGCTCTACTACTACATGGCAAGGTTACACTCAAGAAATTGTCTAAGAAATCTGGCAATTCCAGTCATACCGTAATAAATCCATATCCTTTAGAGCGTCCAGTTTCACTATCCATCATTAGCTGGATACTTTCAATCTAAAAACAAGAGCAAAGCTATTTATTATCAGACATTTTGGAACAAGCTACAAGATATCAAAACAAAACCTGATACAGCCCTGCCAAACATATGCATATGAATGTGAAACCACTTTTTTTTTTTAATCAGTTCCTCATTCCTTCCTTAAGTCAAAACTAGTGTACAGGCAGCTAGATACATACTTCGATAGTAAAACAGAGGCAGGTAAACATAAGGGTGATGTACAATTTATCCTTTGAGTCCAGCTACAGGCAGAGGCTTGGTCCTCGTGCAACATTCTAGCAGACAATGAGCACGCAGACACAATCAAATCCTCACTGAAACATCAGTCATGGCATCTCATACACTAAGAAGCTTCATTTTACAACATTAAGAAAAGTAGTTTGCATGACTGTGACCAGGAGCTTTAAAAAAGCAGGGCATATTTTAAATAATTATTGGCATGTGGGAACTCCCAGAAGTCGACAGTTACTGAATTTAAAACAAGTCAGTCATTCATGAGTCACAATATAGTGCTGGGAAGAGACAGCAAAACACAAGTAGGAAGAAGAACTGAAGACTAGAGCATAAGGAAGCAGGAGGAAAAACCTTCACAGCTCTAAAATTAAGCCTCCTAAACTACATTAATCCTACTGCCAGACCTTGAGAGAAAACAAGAACAGCCACTTGGATTAAAATTTAATAAGTTGCTGCAATTTTCCAGGCTTTTGCACTACAGAATTAAAGCGATACACATACTGAATCTGAGTAAGGAATCTGAAAAGCACTGTTACAGTATACACAAGGCAGGGTTTATACCTGAAGATAGTATAAAAAAAACCCCAATAGGTTTTATTTCCCCCCCCATTAAGTAGCATATTAAGTACATTACTTTTCTTTATCTAATAATGATATAGCCATGGTACCTCAGCACAGTAGGGCTAACACTTAACTATGACTCCACTGGAAACTTCAGATATGATCTGCTCACTTCTGTAACTCTCTACAAAAACATATTGCCATGCCACCAACTGGGGCCTAGTGATGAGTGAAATGGGGCCTGTGCAAGAGCTGTATGGGATGCACAGCTAGTTCATGGCAGTAATGTGAGCTGAAGCTTCAGCAACAACCCTCAGGAACAGATGGAACTACCACATTCACACTGAACAGAACTCAGACCTAATTCTGCACATTAACCTGTGAAATGGGCCCCCATCACAATCACATGGAGTGGAAGATATCTACAACCTGCAGAAGTAGGACATAACATAGGGATTTTTGTTTTGTTTTTTAATTTTAGGTACTCATTGAATTCTCAGCTTTCCTTCATAACACCTGCCGTTCAAAATCACTGGATGACATCACAAATCAAGGTTCTCATTTGTTCTCCAACACTAACCATGTATCTATAGCCTTGGGTATGTACAGGCACAGAAGAGCAAGAAAAAGAAAATGTTTTGCAGGTGTGAAGCTGAATTATTTTCAGAAGCTGTGAGTGCTCTACAACTAATCCATTTTTTTTCAGAAAAACTTCAAGAGACAACACATCAAATTAAAATTTACCCTGCCAAACGGCTCAAAAATGCCTCGAAGCATATCTTCAGTTATGTTGAAGTGTAATGATCCCACATAGAGCCTCATCGGACCAGCACTGCCCTTCTGCAGATTATTTGCCATTGCTGCTGCTCTGTTTTTCTCTGCCTAAGAAAAGGAGAATAGAAAAACTCACCTTCTGCAAGAATTTAATAAAAACCCTAACATAAGCAGTATACGCTTACCAGATTAAAACTATAAGACTCACCAAAAAACACAAGCTGTTTTATAACCTGCACATTATCCATTGGAATTTAACTTAAAAATCTACAAAATCCAAGACCATGACCAAGTACAGAGACAGACAGAGCTTCCAAAAGCCTTCAAATTGCACAACTTCATGCAGAATTTTGGCTTGTATCTAGTAAATTAACACTTTACTTTTCACATATGCTGGAAAGCATACATAATATGTACTGCAATTCTGTAATACTATTACGGTTTCGTTATTACCATTTTCTCAACATCTGTATTTTCAAAATGCATTTACGTAACTTTGAACTGCTCTAGTTTGCCTGTCCACTACTGGAAACAAGTGTCCATATATAACTAGCTTAAATAACCATTCTTGCTAAGGTTTTCCCACTGTTCACTGGTAACTGAATTTTCAAACAGTAAATTTTCCAGCAAGATAAAAAGGCACCACTCAACATGAATAAAAATGGGGTTTGCAACTCCTTACCTGTGATGCTTGTACTATGATGGGTACACCCAAGACTCTCTGTCCAGTCAGCCCTATCGCCAGAGGCACTGAACTAACATCAACAAATTCTACATAAGCAATTCCCTTTGAACGCCTGGAATTTCTATCTGAAATCATTCGCACATCACGAACCTGAAAAACAAGCACAGAAATGCTGTTAAACACAGCGTGCTACAGGAACAGGGGCAACAGAATACGTGCAGCATGCAATGCTTTAAGCCAGAATCCTACAGTGGATGGCACAATCAGAGCTTTTCAGCAGCAAAAGTTACACTAATTTTTAAATTATACTACAACTGGTAGACTCATCTGCAAAAGACTGAAATTTCTGAAAAATGAAGTTGTTTGAATCAGAATTGCATTGCCACATTTTGCATCATTGCATGCTAAGCAGTGAACTGATAAATTATGTTTTCATGTTCAGAGACTTTAAGAATTAGTTGGTTGTCATTCCTCCACCCTTTCACATGTACAGGAAGCTCCAGAAAGCCACTTGCTTGCAATTCTGCAGAACGTCAATCCTGTACTAGGACAGCTTGAGGAAGGATTCAGAATCTTTTCAACCTCCCTATTAATTACCTTCCCTACTGTAGAGAAAAATTCTTCCAGGTCTCTTGGTCGAATTCTTGCAGCCAGCTGCATGCAGAATACTGTTCGAGCATCTCTCTCTTCAGGGGTAAGATTATCAATAGGTTCTCTGGAAGGAGGAAAACTCAGTTAAATAATTTGAATCAAGATAACTCATCTCTGAACCCTGCATGAAACTTGAAATAATCAGTACTTCAAAATCTGATGGGGGAAAAAAAAAAACAAAACACCTGCCATATTCAAAAAAGCAAGGTCAAGAATTGAAGAGAATATCTAACATTAATACAATAATAACGGCAACAATAACAACAAGAAGTTTACTTCTTTAACATGACTGAACACCCTGTTTCAACTGTAAGCATTAAATACGACTGGAAAATTGCATTTTAAGTACAGAAGCCCCAACTAAACAGAGGTGCCATTCTGCTACTGTCCAGAACACGCAAGAGCACCACTAGGGTGCTTGCAGTCCAGAACGTGAGATGAAAGGACAGTAAACCAAAAGAAAACAGTATCAATTAGCACAGGCTAGTTGTCTGAACTCTCAGACAAGCAGTACCAACTTTTTCCTGTGGCTTTGCAAACTAAAATCTTACACCTACCCAGCCAGTCTGGAGTCATTACAGTCATTGCATAAACAATACTGACATCTACACAAACAGAATTCCCAATTTTCATTTCATGCTTTCAGCTCGTTAACCCATAAAAATGATGAGTAGTGAATAATACTCTTGTGCTTGACATCAAAAGCACTAGTTAATTGTATTTCAATACTGATCACCAGCTGAAATTAGATGCATCACCTTTAAGGTGTTAAAGCTTCAAATCTAAAAAAATCTGACTAGTACTTAAACGCAGGACAGAACTTGCATGCTGGGTTTGAGTTTCCAGTCATGCAAAATGTATTTATATTACTGTAAGTATTTTTTAAAAATCCCTAAGAATACACTAGAAAAATTTAAACAAAATTGTCTCAGTAAGAGTTTGCTAATAATTAAAAAAAAAAACCACACAAAACCAAAACAAGACCGGTTAAATTTAACTGCATTAATTTAGAGAATAAATGCATTAACAGCTATCTAAATCCAAATCCCTTAAATGAGAAGCCTAAGAATGGACAAGCATCTCCTGAATTTCAAAGGTATCTGACTTTTCTACAAATAACATCAATGCATACTGAACAGGAAAATGAAGCATTTGTACAGTACTTTTCCATTCTGTACTCAAGATTATTAAGATTTAGCAGAAAAGCTAGCTAATTTAAATCCCAATTAACAGGAGAAAGCTATATGAGAATACAGAAACACAAAACGCAAAGCAAGACACGTTTTGCAAACTGACAGGATTTACAATTGTACACTGTTATTCCGGAAGGGAGAGTTTACGACATGGGGAGAAAGCTAGATATTTTCAGTGCTCTCCTCTCACGGGCTTTCTGAATGAATTCCAGCATGACTTGTGAGCAGAAGCTGCAGAGCAAGTAGTCATGTGTTATTTCACCATTACTCTTCCAATTTCGATTGGACAAAAAAAAAACCACAACAAACGTGTGTAAAATTTCCCACCTAACAGGACTCTTGTCTTTTCTGAAGGGACTTTTGCTTCTGGAGCGTCGTCTGCTGCAAAGAGACATCAACAAGATTATAAGAAAACTTCCCAATATACCAGTCTTATTTTAAACAAAACCTAGTTATGATGCAATAAAAAGCAGATAAAACTCTCAAACCTTAATTTGATACTGTGAGGCAGACCAATCTTTCCTCTGATGGCACTGTTGAACTTCGGACCAGAACTACGACAAAAGCAGAGGCCGACATTACTCACCAGAGCACCTGAATTCAAGCTCTCCTGTCTGTATTCATAGCACACTGCAAGTACTCGCCCACCCTTGCACCTGAACTTGTAACATTTCCATTCGCAGCACCCATAGCACGCATAAGCTACGTGCAGCACTCCAAACCATACCGCACAGAACACGCTCCCTGCTCAGTTTCACCTGCACTGCAAAATCCCAGAATATGCAGGACTACAAGAAAGAACTGAACTGTCAGCCAGACACAGCCCATTTGTATGTGCAAAAGATTCTGAGCTATAGTTCCTGTTGTAACCATCTTTACATGTTTTTTCTTGTCCACAAGCATGTTCTACCTACTGATGACTGCAGAGCAGTACCTTCCTGGCCTGGAACTCAGCCTCAGAGTTTTGAGCGAAGTGGTGCTGGCAGGACTGTTTGCTCAAGTCTGACGTTCTAATACTGAAAGTTCCATGAAATTTAAGATTCAAGTGGAAACCAACGCAGCTCCCTGCAGACATCTGCAAGGGACACGTTCACTAGTGTTGTCCAGCTCTAGCCACTAAAGTGCTACAGATATGTAAACGCAGCTTCCTTTACTTAAAGTTCTTAATGAACATCAGAGCGCAGAAACGTTTAAGCCAGCAATTAACCTTATACAGACATGTCACTACAGAAGGAACCCAATCTCTTGGCTGAACCTAATTTCAGTTCTCCAGGCTTCACAGAGGCTGTTAGAATACATGGCAATGTGCCCACTGCTTCCATGTTAAGGACAGTCCTCTGGCTGGCTACTGTGGCACAGGGTAACAGTAAGATCCTATCATTTTCTCCCTGCGCTTCATCTCCTCGTAGATACAAGGCAAAGAACAACACCTGTTCACGTTCCTCCGTTACATCCACCGAACAGCAGAGGCACTGCTGCACAGACTGAGTGCTAGGGGCTTTGTCTTTCCATCTGCACAGAACTCATTCTTTCTGCTGTGGCTATAAATTGATGTGAAAACACCCTGAAAGACATGGCAGTCTGAAGATATTAAGGAGTCTTTCACTAAACCCATTTAGCCAACCAATTTGTCTGATAAACATCATCTTGCTACTCAGTGGAGTAGTACTGCTTATACACTCAGCATCCACAACAAGGAGGAGGATGCCCATTTTTAAACATGGCATGACACAGGTGGGAGTAGTGGGCCAAGATCCAAAACCGTGCTGGCCAGGTTAAAGCACGGGAAATATGGCCCTGTGTAACACTGAAAAAAAAGATAAAGAAAAAAGACCATTTAGAAACTACTTATTAGGAGAAAATAAGACATAAAAACAGGCACATGTAGAGATGCGATCACTATTACCAAAAACAGACTTTTTTTTTGCCTAGGATAAATGACTCCATTTCCTACTCGAGTTCAGACAAATGACTGCTGAGAGTGTCCACTCACGTTCTCCAGTGTCTATGACACATACTGCCAAAGGCTGCATCTGAAAACGTCGGTACTAATCCCAGAGGCTGGCTTCTTACAAGAGATGGAATTACCTTACATCACACCTCCTGATGTCGAACATGGTGTTCTCCATTGCAATTCAAATGCAGCAAGACAAAGCACTTACAGTCACTCCAGAATATTAACATGCAGATCAACTAAATGATGGTCAATAATCAAGACCGTAAGCTTTTAAGGAAACAGTGAAAGAAATCTTTTAAGTGTTTTTCTTAAACCTGATAAAAAAAACTGAGAAGATAACACAATAACAGTTTTCAAATACATGCACAACCTGAGGGGGAAAAAAACCAAACAAAACACCACATCACAACTTCAAAAATCTCTTTTCTGTTTTCACTCTTGACAAGTAAGTACTATCTCATTTACACAACTCCATGGGAAAAATACCGAAAAACCCAGCAAACTAAAGCCGTAATAGACCACTGGAACAGACTGAGCAGAAAGCTACCTGGGGGGCAAGATGATGGCCCAAATTACCTTCTGAAGATCCTTCTTTAACAGTATTCTGAGGGGTGTGTTTCTTCTTGTTTTTCAAAGGAGACTTGCTTATAAAGCTGTAGATCTCAGGAACTTTCTTCTTTCCTCCTACTGCCCAAGAACTCTTTGCAATGTTGCTCAGTTCCTGCTATCATGTATGGAAGCACCAAGTCACAAGCAATTTATCTTTATGTCACAGGGTTACCTTCTTCATAAGCCAAACACACTAAATCCTGAACCTACGTGATGACACATGGCCCATGAACAAGTCAGGTCAGAAGAAAGCCAGTAAAGTACCAGCTTTCACTTGCTCCGTCATATCCAAGACTCCAACCCATGAGTCTCAGACAAGGCAAGCGTTGGCTAACAGAGTTCAGCGGAATCACGATGAACTTTCGGTCCTCATGCAATCACTGTTCTCTGAGCAGCGTTGCTCAAATCCTTGGTTCCTGAATAACAGTAGCAGGAGCTGGGATTTCTCAGACAGATGTCTAAGCAAGTTTTTTCTTCTACAAGACCTAATAATGTAACTGTAAAACACGTAAGGGGCAAGACAAGTGAGAATAACATTAAACCCCCTGTGAACACTACGCAACGCAAGCCAGCCACTAAATTTTAAAAAACTGAAACATTTAATCACTATCTCATGCTTAAAGATGACAAATTCAAAGTCCTCAGGCTCTCTGTGGCTCACTCTCCTCCTTTTCCTTCAGTGTTACCTATACTGGCCTGTATCAGAAAGTGTGGCCGGCAGGACTAGGGAAGCGCTCATGCCCCTGTCCTTGGCACTGGTGAGGCGGCACCTGGAATACCGTGTTCGGTTTGGGGCCCCTCACTACAAGACAGACATGGAGGTGCTGGAGCGTGTCCAGAGAAGGGCTACGAAGGTGGCGAAGGGTCTGGAGCCCAAGTCTTATGAGGAGCAGCTGAGGGACCTGGGGCTGTTTAGCCTGGAGAAAAGGAGGCTGAGGGGAGACCTTCTCGCTCTCTCCAGACCTACCTGCAAGGAGGCTGTAGCCAGGTAGGCGTTGGTGTTTTATTCCAAGTAACAAGGGATGGGCTGAGAGGAAACGGCAGGTTTAGATCGGATGTTCGAAAACAGTTCTTCACCAAAAGGGTTGTCAGGCATTGGAACGGGCTGCCCAGGGAAGTGGCTGGGTCCCCATTTCTGGGGATGTTTAGAAGACTTGTAGATGTGGTGCTCAGGGACACGGTTTCGTGGTGGACTTGGCAGTGCTAGGTTAACAGTTGGACTTGATGATGTTAAAGATCTTCTCCAAACTAAATGATTTTATACTAGACTTCCTCTTCCCACTATTGCAGAGACTTCCACATCACCCCTGGCAGCAAAAACATCTCAGTTGAGAGATATAACTTGGAAGGGGCCCTTTATAAAGCAAATGAGAAAGAACACACAGAGGAGGAAAAGTAAAAAATAAAATTAAGAAAATACAGCCACAAAGCATTTTGAACTAGATGTTGCAGTCAGCTACAGCACTGCCTGCTGTAACACCAACTCAGAACTGTCTGAACAGTCCCACAAGATGAGATTCCAAATCTGAATTCTCCAGCTAGGGAGAGCATTCCGGTAGTTACTTTCAAAACGCTGAGCTGATGACACTGCTATTCAGATGGTTTCTTCATATGGAAACATCATTTTTAGTAGATCCAAAGGTAAGTGATGAAAGGAGGCTGGTGATGCAGGAGGCTTCATCTCCAGAACTTGCGTCTCTCTGAAGGTCAGTACCTGCTAAACAGCTTTTAAAGGTGAATCTTGAAGAGTTCTTCTCCCTAGTATCTTCTGAGATCCTTCTCTTTCACACCTTCTGAGCCAAAATGATAATCTTAGCATCACGTCAGTACCTGTATCACTTCAACAGCATTATCCATGACCTACAAGCGAACAACAGTCAACTGCTGGCTACGCAGCAGTTAGCACCAATGCCTCTGGGATGTACAGATGCCCTACACCAGTCTTCCCTTAAGCTATTTTAAACCCTAAAATTCTGCTCGGTTAAATGAAACCAACAATTCAGCAACTGAAGCGGAGAACACAACAATGCCAAACCAATAAGCACAACAACGTATCCGCAGGGGATACCAGATTATCTCACCTTTTTGTTCACTGTCTCTCAATACCAGAAAAATAGCCCAAAACAGCTACGGAAGAGTGTAAGAACAATGAAAGAGACTCCTCACAATCACTAACCTTCCAGACACAGCATACCTTGATGCATTAGAACAGCTATGGGTTATTGAAGTAATGCCCATGCTTCTAACCTCTACTTGAGTAAATTACTTTGAAAGACCAGAACACTGAAACTCCCAAATTTCTCCAGGTAAAGAACCTTCTCACCCAGTGATGACAGGAAAAAAAAAGAACAAAACTCTCCAACATAGCTAGGAGAACGCAGCAACTCCCAACCAAGCGATGAGATGAAAGACATCCTCTCCATGCAACGCTACGCTGGAGCTGAGACATGTGGCAGCCTCCACATGCAGAAGGCTGAAGATCTTGATCAAGGCTCCTCTGTCTGCGAGGCAGTCTGGAGCCACACCAGTGGCACTGCCACAACCCAACTAGCTACTGGAATCTCACAAGTGTCACAGAGCTGCAGAAAACATGCCAACCATGCACAGCTGAAATCTTCAGAGCTGCAGCCCAGAGCAGCTTTACAGAGGCTCTGACAGGCTTGATGCTTCAGAGCAAGTAGAACCAGAGCTGCTACACTCTCTGATCCCCAGGTGTACAGGACTGACGGAAGCACAGGATGACACTGCATTTCAGCAGAACTAGGAGCTGCAGTGTGTGTGTTCACTACTAAAACGTCAACACCCAGGTCAATTAGTGCAAAAGACCCTGAGCCCTCAGGCATTTTTGGTCTGCATTCCAAGAGTACCAAAAGGCACGTGCTCCCCGGATTGGGACCCAGCCACCTAGAAGAACATCCACGTGCAGAAAACTGTACAACCTGTAATTTATCACAAAGTAAACACTGTCTTATCAAACATCTTGAGAGCGATTTCTCCATCACGGATGATGTCACGTGCCATGATTAAAAAAATAATACACCCTTATCAAATGCCTGCTTCTGACACAATCTTGATGTCTGAGATTTGACAACAGCTGAGATGAGACCTGGACAGAAGCAGCCACAAACAGCAGCCTCACGTAACCGATGAAAGCCAATCATACAGCCCACTTCTCACTGCTTTTCTGCTGCTTTGAAGGCAAAAAGAGGTGATGAGGAGCACAGAGAGGGCAGGAATACAAAACAGCAGAAACACAGAAAAAATACCAACAAAAAAATGTTTTTTGAGAAATTATTTACAACTGTCAGGAACTATCTATAGCAGAAGTTCTATCAAGTCAAAGATCTGAGAGAAATTGAAGAATTCTTCCACAGGCTCTAAACGAGTTTGAAAAAAGCAGGGCAAATCTGCAACGCATGGGCAGTACTAAGACAATATGCTTCCAGTTTGGATGCATAAACACAGAAAGTGTTTATGCAGTGTTTAAGAGCAGCAACCCAGTAAGAACCCTTAGTAATAACAAGCAAAAGGGTTTATGAGCCTGTAACCAAAGTCACAGACTACTACTCATGCTTTGACAGTCCAACCATCAGGTTCATATGCTGAAGAGAGTCAGGACATGTAGAAAACTTGCTTGTTATTTTAATTTTGTGATAAACTTTGTTTTCCAGTCAGTTGTGTACAAAGCAAGTGAAAGAATTTGTACATCTTTCCATGTTCAGGTAGGAATGAAGACTAGCAGGAGGAACTGGATGCATTACTGTCCTCCTCTTTTTCACTCCACATTTATTGACACTCTTCAACCTTAGCCCCTCACCTTCTTTTTCTGAGATGGTTAGTGACTAATTTAAAAAGCAGAGTGAAACGTCACGCTTCCACATCACACACTGAAGCAGCACACACACAACTCTACACGAATAACCTACTAGGGACTTCTGTAGCGGCCTCTGAATCTGCGATCTCTGCTCCTCGAACGGCTGCGCCTGCGTTCTTTGCTTCTGCTCCGTTTCCTTTCCCGGCTTCTGCTCTTTTTCCTTTCCCGATCTCGGCTCCGTTTGCGTTCCTTACTCCTGCTCCTCTTCCTGTCATGGCTTCGACTTCGGCTCTTGCTCTTTTTTCTCCTGAAAAAGAAAAACACAGCTTTGGTTACACATGCAGCTCAGTGTAATTATTCACCTCGGTTCCTCTAACCTGAGGTCACAGGCATTCTTAGGAAATTCCACCTGTGGGTATTCATACAAGTTTATTTTGTTAAACAGGTGGTTAAGCATGTCAGCAATCTTTTAAAATTTATCACAAGCAACACGAAGTGCTCCAAAGCACTGTATTTTAAATTTTTTAATCACTAAAGCGTGCTTCCAGGAAAAGGACTAAAAAAATACTTTCCGCAATAGACCTAGTACAGACTAAATACGCTACTTAATGTGTCTTTCAAACATCCTTTAAGTACGCCGTCAAGAAGCTAAGAATAAACTACACTTTCACAGCAAAGTAAAACAAAACGCAACAAAAATAGAAAGAAAAAGGCAAGTCTGAGGGAAAGGAAGGTTCTTTTTCTTGATACTCCCTGTCATTATTCTTAATACACTGCCTAAGAGTCTTGCTTCCTACTTGCTACTCCCACTCAAAGCCACTTGCTTTTCCAAGCCTGCACCTCTTACAGGTTTGGGACAAACTGCAGATCTTCATAATTTTAACCGTTTACTTAGAAAATTCAAACTTTTAAAATATGCAAGTCAATTATACCTCATATTTGAAAACCAGTGAGCCGCTGTTACATTCCTGGCAGACTACTTTCAGGTTATTTGCCAAATTTTTTCTCTCTCAGTCTCTTAGTTTCTAAAATATGTATGTATGTATATACATAACACATATGTTGAACAGGTGCTCAAGCAATTACTCGAAACAGTAATTTACCTCAAACTAAAATAAAAGCCTATATTCACCTTAGTCTTCAGCAAGAGAGTACATGTCACAAGTCACAGACAAAGCAGCGTGGTTCGTTCCCTAAAGATTATAGGGAACGACAGCTGTATCAAACCAAAATCCAGGGGCAAAAAGCTTCATACTGCCAGAGGCCTGCAGTACCAGAATAACTAACCTTCTAGCAATTGCTAACTCCAACACTGAAACGGGAAGGCACCACAGGAGCAACGTTTCTCAACAGACAAGGGCACAATAAGGAAGGCAGAAAAACAGGTGAAACTCCACAAAACAAATAACATTGCAACACGAACAGTAGCAGAACACCTTGACTGACTTCTATTTTAAAATAACAAGTTTTCTCAACCTAGTTTCCTGTTTTTTCTGAATTAGAAATGCAAACTCAGAGCATTCAGGTCCAACCTTAAAATGGGACTGTGGACAGAAAGGTAACAAATGTCACTGCTCAGTCTTAGAGAGGTTACAGCAACTAAGGAAATGAACTGAAATACCTTCCAATATTCTCATTATTCTACCACGACCCAAGGTCAGAACCAATAAAACCCACTGCTTTCTTTTCAGATCCTAGCTCATATTTTTAGACTGGCCATGCAAACAAAAGCAGGGCTTTACACGCTATGTATATACATATTTTAAAGTAATAAAAATTCGGAACTTAAAAAGCAGCTGCTTTTGATGGTGTTTTTACAGGTCTCTGTACCTAGCATGAGAATTATGTCTACAGCATTGTTTAGAACACATATATAAGGTGTAACCAATTTCAGATTATTAGATTCCAACATAAATCTAATGAAGGAATCAGATTTCTCATTTCCCAAATGTTTATACACTTGGGAAGAAGTGTTCTTTAGATCCCTTCAGCATTTCATCTGTATAATTTCAGAAGATGACAGCAGCATACATGCTGACTCCTCAAGTCAGCTGTGTATTACAAAAATGCACTGGCTACTGTTTACTCAATTATCAAATTCATAATTATTCTTCCTACATCAACACTCTCATCATCAAGTGATGCTTGTAAGGCAAGGAATTTATTTCGCAGACCTAAAACCTTCCATTTATTGGGGTAAAAGACTCTTATACACAAGGCATTTTTCTTCAAATTTCTGATTTGATTCCAGACTGTTTGGGTCATCAGCAGGTGTTCAGACCCTGGAATTACGCTTCCTGAAAAAGGTGGGCTTGTACTCTGGTTCTATTTATAAAGTTTAAATTAGAAACAAAAAACTTAGACATTTTCTAAGGGGAGGGAATAGCAGGAGGCAATCCAACATCCTAAACCTTTTCAAGAAAGCACTGACATCTTTAAACGCTTTGAACTGTTCCAAATCACACAAAATTCTACACCAAACATTTTTAAAATGCAAAATCCATTGCATTGCTAAAGCAACAAAAAACAAATTAAACAAGCTGCACCTACCAAGTCTGTATTTTTATCTGATGCTAACATTAAACGTTTCCACAACTTCCAGGCATCAGTGACAAGGGTATAACTATATTTGTAAACAAAACACAATTTCATAATTTCTCCATTTTACTTCCCTAAACATTACCAACACGAACCCACGAGTTTGCAAAAACCACCAGCCACCCCCAAACGCAGAGAACTGAGAACACACTCACTTCTTGCTGCGCTCTTCGTGGCCATTGGCACTGCTCAATTTGTTCTCATCCTAAGCAGGGTTGATAGAAGAACATCGTGAGGACGAAGCGGAAACATTTCAAGTGGTCAAAGGGTAATGGGAATAGGAATAAGAAAATACAAAACAAAAATTTTAATACTAAATTACTTGTTTACAGTTTAATTTGGAAAGCTTTAGAAAATTTAGGTAGGCATGTTTAACCACTTTGCTGCTTAAATTTAAGCCATACAATTACAAAATACAAGACTTACATCATTTAAAAGTGTATATTAAATTGTAGATACTTCCTTACATGGTTTAGAGAGCAAGTTATCCTGTAGAATTCAGCACTCAAGTGGTTAAATGTTATTTCTATAAAACGTAAGAGGAAGTTTCAGGTTTGTGTCTGTGTGCCCCTCTGACCAGTACCAAGGCTATATCTCTGCCTAAGCCCCCGTGGCTACGCTAGCAGCCAGCCACTACGGATTTCCTGTGACCGATGCCATTCCCGAGATCTTCGCTCATTTTCGTGGAAGGGTTGTAAGAGCTTGATGTCACCTCTGTCACACATCTCGCCCTGAAGCAAACAGGGATTCACACTGCTTTAGTATCGTCGACTCCCAAGAAAGTCATCAATAATCCACCAGTCCAGCCTAAACATTCCCTATTTCCATACCTGTTTACATGGAAAATATCCATGTTAAACCAGGACACAAGAATTTTAACATAACAATTTACAAATTTCTCTTCAAGATTTTAACGTAAATGCTAAATATTACATAAACTAAATATACCACTTAAAACTTACAAATGCTCATCCAAAATTCATCACATGGTTGTATTAAACACTGCAGAATAGACTAACAGTAGCTGCCATATAATTTATAGACTTTACAGTTTAATCACATCAGTTACATCAAAAGTACAATTCCTAAGCGACTTAAACTTAATATACATTTCTCATGAAACCAGTGCTAAAGCATGCATAACGTTAACACTTCACCACCATTTGGTGAAAACCAAAAAAAGACAGTATTCATTTGCTGCTGGTTTAGGTAAAAGACATCACTATGCTAATCGATAAAAATTTCTCATGAAAATTGACATTTCCTAATTAAACAACTAGGACAGAAGAATACAAAAGCTTATTTTAGAATGACACTGCAGACTGTGATACTGTCTTTTACTTGCTAGGAACATTCTACTCAGGGATCCAAGAATTTCCGTAAATTCGTTCACTCAGCAATTGATTTCCATGCCCTGTTAAAAGATTAACCACCACCAGCCTTCTGCATTAAAAGCAAGTCTCATTCTTCTTGCACTGAGCAGACTGTTCAAATATTTACTTGCCATGGGACTGGTGAAAAGGTTATTCTTGGAACCCTGCTGTTTTCCCAAACCACTGCATTCACCTTGTTGCTATACCAAACTGGACCTGGCACGTTTAGGAGAGGTTTTTGGTTTCTTGTTTTGGGGTTTTTTTGTTTTGTTTTGGTTGGTTGGTTTTGGGTGGGTGGGCTGTTTGGTTGGGGTTTTTTTTTCTTTTTTTGTTTTGTTTTTTAAACCTAGGGGACCACGGTACAGCGATACGTCACTCAATTACTACCTTATGATTGACAGTTCACACTGGAATCAAAGGTGAATTCATGGGAGTAGAGGTGAGATATCGTTAGGCAAGTCTACAAAGAGAGATAGATGGGCATTTATTCATCACGCTGAAGTGAAACTACTGCACAATATAATTACATTAACAGCACATATTTACTCGTAAGTTACATGTAATGCATCTCCAATACCATAAATCATGAGGGCTCCAGGGATGTTAGTTTACAGTTCAGCAGTAGTTTCATGAATAATGCTAAATTCAGGTAAACAGGACCTCACTGGCACGTTTTTCTCACCTTCTTGTAAGGAGCTTCAAGCATTGCTTCAATATCAATATCATCAGCCATTTTTCAGGACACCTGAAAGAAGAAGCAAAACCCACCTGAGACACAGAACACCCCTGTGCTGTATATTCCGAGGGCTGCTGCTTTGGAGGCCATCGCTGCAGCAGCTCCAATTCACACAGCACGTCTCAGAGATATTGCCAACAAGAACTGGAACGAAGCTTGGCCCAGCAAGATGACAAACGACATACAGCAATTACGGATGCGAACAAGAAACTGCTGTTGAACACAATTAGCCAGTGCAAAGCTCAGAGGTATTCCACCTATTTCTTTCCAAACGAAGAGCACAGACCATTTCTGATACAGGACCACAGTTTTGGTGGCCATCTTGAGAAGTACCAGTGCTTGACCAAAGGACTACCCAAGAGAGACGTATGACGAACGCAGAACACACACTCAAACCCGTTCACCGTTGCCCAGCGCTTGCTCCCACTGCATTTACTAACCTGAAACTTAAAGTGGACACAAGAAACGCAGCCTGCATAATGAGAGCCGCAGAAGAAACAATCACGATTCAAGCGTCAAGAGCTACTAAAGCATGCAAGTTCCATCCACTCTGAACTTCAGGTTTCAGACAAAAAAGATCCACCACGTCATGTAACACTAGTCACCACCAACTTTTAATCTAAAGAGCTATTCCTCTTATTTTTCCACGTCAACCTCCTAACATAATCTTGTGTTTATTATACTCTGAATCCCTCTGACATTCGATTTCCATTCCCTATGCAGGTATGCTATTAAGAACCCCTCAAGACTCTCCGCATTAAAATATGGAGACTCTTCATAAAAGAGTTTCTCTCCTTTTTAAGTCCAAAAACAGTCAGGCCTCTAAATCCAAGTCAGACAGCCTGAGAGTGAAGATTTTCCTGCATGCGTGCCATAAAACTGATTTTTAATCATAGAGGGTAATTCCTGCACCTTGGTTACAGGCATTGCTGCAGGAATTGTGCTGTCCAGAAACTCGGCCAGCATAATGAAATTGCCCCATTTCAAGATCCTTTAAGCTGTTCACTCACAACTGAGAACATTAAACCAGAGTTGCACCTCACATAAGAATCGAGTCACTCCCACACTCACATCTGACCATTGCCCATTAATAAAATCAAGAATAAAACATAATCCTTTAGCAATATCAGAGCACTGGAAATTAATACTCAACTACCCAAACCACGGCACACTAACCTCATTTTCAAGTTATTACCTCTTGGGCTACAGTGCTGTCACAAGTGTGATCGTCCTTAGTTTACATGTAATGGCTCAATTTTACTTTTTACTGGGGTTACTGACATTCAGCTTTTCAAGCCATTGAAACACGTACATACATACACGTGTATGATTTAATTCACCACTGCTCTACCAGTATTTGGTATGAACAAGGACATCAGTATGACGAAGGACAGTGAAAAAGCACCAGACCAAATCCAAGATTCTACCAGAAAATTCCCACCAGTGACAGCTCCCACCCACGTTTATATTTTCATATGTGTAATTCAGTCAACATATCCAGCTACACCTGGGGTGGGATCCTTCACCCTGAAGAGGGTTGCCAAGGGGGGGATGGGGGCCAAGTCACGAGTGGCACGGAGAAGCAAATAGGGAATAACTATTACTGCATTCACCCAAATAATAGAGTGAATGAACTGTCATCCAGTGAGTTCAAAACAAAGGTCCTTATTCACACAGCACTAAACCGTGGAATTCACTGTTACCAAGCACTGTGGATGCTAACAAAGACAAAAAAACACATGCAGTGTTCAAAAAACACAAAACAAAAAGGCACAAAAGTTTACAAAAAAGGCTTTTCATTAAACAAAGACATGCCTTGTGACCCTGAACCACAACTAGCTGACGACCACGGCCCTGGGTTTCCATCTTTCTTAGGCATTTACTGCTGGCCACCATCACAGGCAAGATCCTCGGTTACACAGACCTTTGGTCTCACTCGGTGCAATCTGGACCCTTTGTACTCTCTACAAAATACTTTCATCAGTATAATACCATGTTTTTACCAGAATACCTTTTGTTCACACAACCAAGATCTATCAATTCTGATTCATGTAACGCATGTAATGATAAAGTCATTCTTCTTCATAAATAATCACAAATACAAATCCTTATTCATTTCAAACAAGTAGAAAATATTGACAGATTTTCAAGCATCTTTCATTAAATGCTGAAGAAGCTCAAAACAATTTTCATAAACGCCTTGTTCAGCTTGCCCTAAAAGGCTGCATCCCTACAGAAAAAAAAAACCAAAACCCAAACCAGACAAATAAACAACAGCAACAAAAAAAACCCCACACAGAACATGAAAAGAAACAAGGAATGAACTACATTTGAAACTTCGTGGGTCTACAAAAAAATCTACACGGACTTGAAATTTACTGCTACTGAGCCACCCAGCACTTTGAAGGCAGATTCCACCTCTTTTTGCTCTGCTGTATTACACAGCTCTCTCCCCTAAATTATTTGCTTTGGAAATTCCAGGAAATTCTAATTCCACTCGTACATCAGGAAAGTTCGGGCCGAGAGTCGACGCTTCGGGAAAGGAGCTCAGCTCAGCACCACCCGCACCTGCCCGGCTCCGACCCGCAGCGCTCCGCGCACTCCCTGCGCGCTCGGCGGGGAACAACTCCGCGCTCTCCAACGCGCCGCTGCGCTACAACCGACCGGTCCCGGCCCCCG